TGAAACACTATTTGCACTTTCTGGTGGTCTGATAACAAGCACTATAGTTTGATCTGGTAACAAACGCTTGAGAACAAGGAGTTCTGAAAGCAAAAGCAGTGCTGTGTGGTTAAAGGGCTGACCAAAAAGCCTGATAATTATGTACTCCTCCAGAAACTTTTCACCTAGTCATGGGCAGATTGACTGTTCTCATCTCGGTTTCCCCGTCTTTCACAAGAGGCTCATATTTTCCTTCCTGTATGTGTTGTGAGGAAAGAAATCTCTAATATTTTGGAAGTATTTTTAAACTTCTCTGTCGGAAGGAAGATGGAGAAATATCAACAGGAAAACCAAGCCCTTGCTTTAGAAAGATGACTTGCAATTTCAAGGAAGAGGACAGATCATAAGTCAAAAAGGCATATTGAAATTTTCAAGAAGCAGTGCTGATTCAGAACATGTTATGTTTGCAGCTGCTGGGGTGTGAAACTTCTTCCACAATGTGACAACCAGCATGAATTACTTTATTGCTCATAACAAATACAGATGGACAGTTATCAGGGTGAAATGAAGGACAGGGTCATTTGCACACTGACAGAACCTTCCACCACATGCTGCTTAGAAATAAATAGATTTTAATCAGCTCTTCTACTTTTCTTTATCTTCAGAAAGCCTTTAGAGCTAATATTCTCCAGCAGAAGACTACAATGCTTTTAGGAAATGCATGTTGAGAATCTGCCTCTGTTTTAAGGAGGTTGTCTAAAATGCTAATGTTCCTCTTTTCATCATGAATCACAAAGCTCGTGGCTTTCAAATTTACCATTTCAGTTTCAGTCATGGGAATTGGATTACTTCATTCCCTGTCCTTTCTCCAATGTTATCAATCAAGAAATTTGTTGTTTCCAGCCTACATGAACATGATGCCTGTATTCCTTGTCTGATGATCCACATAGTTTTTGAGTCAGGAATGAGTTCCTTGCCTACTACATGCAGCAGCACCTGTAGCAGTGCTAGGCATGGAAAGTACTCCCAAGGGGAAGATACTCACACATAGCTTTTAGTCTGTTAATATTGAATAGAAAATGGGGTGAAGATGGTGTCTCTAAAACATGATTGGAAAGATAATAATGCACTTTCACCCACAAGTGAAGGTGATACCTAAGTCCATGTAGTAGATCATTGAAACTACTAGTCATACAGGCAAGGCATTGAAAATCAACTGCTGTATTATAGGTCTTAGAGAACAAGCAAAGTAACACCTTTCTTACTTCCACACCTACATTTCTAAAGGTTTGGGTTACTAGAAGGTTGAGAAGAGGGTTTCATAGCACCCCTGCAGTCAGTGCCCTTTGCTACAGTGTGAGGACTTGGGATGGATGTCCAGGAGAGGATCAGCTGTAGAACCAGGGAAGCAGTGCACATGAGTGAGCTGAGACAAGGTACATTTGCTGTTGCAGTTCCCATTTGACTGCATAAGATTCAACAATGCATTTTGCTGGCATAGTCACTCCTACAGTTGACTGAGACTGTTATGCCATGGTCCTCAGATGCTGTGGTTACTCAGAGAGGTTTCTGAAGAAAGAAAGAGTGTAAAGAACTGTTCATTTCATAGTCCAAAAATAAAGAAAGCAAATTCAGAAAAAATAAGACAACAAACCCAAGGATGTGCACAAATGTCATGAAGTGGTATTACATGACAAAGCGTGACCCCTTTTACCTTTGCAGGATGTATTCAGGAAAGGTCTTATCAATGCCAATCAAATTCAGACAAAACCCCATCAATTTGTACTGATGAGCTATTGTTTATTTCTATGGCATCCCTTGCTTCTAAATTAGTAGAAGGAATTTATATATTGCCTCGAGTACACCACGCAAATCTGTGCTTTTCTGCTGTCCTTTCCATGTTGAGCACCACAACAACAGAACAGTAATCATAAAAAGTACCACTAATGGGGGTTTGTGTCCAGAGAACATAGGCTCCTGTTCCCTGGCCGTCTCCTCACTAAATAGCCTGAGGGTAATGATTCAGTTACATACATTAAGTACTTTCCTACAAAAATAATCACTTTGAAGAGACTTGTTCCCCCCACTGACCTCAGCTTCCTGTGGGCTCTGACAGGTGAGGAGCGCAGGGAAGATGCTGCTGGACAAGCATAGGCTGTTTATGAAACCAACTTTGCAACCCCTTTTCCCAGCACTGCCATTTGCAAGGGCTGCCCTCGAGGAAGGTTATGGTAGGACAAAAGACAAGATAGTTTTGAATAGAAAAGAAGCTATATTTTATTTATTTCACATAAGCTCTAATAGATGATCTTGTGAGGAGCAGATTTGCAACAGTGGTAATCTTAAAATAAGACCAATGAACTTGCAAGAATTAAGATTTTGTAAAGAATTTCAGTTTTGAATCCTTTTATATGTGGTATTAAGTGTGTCAGATGTTAGCTTTCTGTATTTTTCAAGAGATAATGTAAGCCCAGAGTTAAGATGCTGATGGATTTTGCTGTGTTGTCAGAAAAGGAACTTCAGGTTCCATCAGGAAGGGAGGACAAGTGAAACAAACTTCAAAATTGGACGTAGAGGTCTTGGTCTTGCTACTTCAGCTCTTTTGTTCAATGGTAAAATTCACATTGATTTTAGTGGGATAAAAACTGTTTCTTAGTTTGGTATATAGGATTTGGGGATGCTTGTGATGCCCTCCAGGACCCATGAAAACTGGTTCTATCAGCTAGTCATTGGGGTAGGTCTGAGGAGTTACTGGTATCTTGCAGCTGAATACAGCTATTTAAATTCAGCTCATTAAAAGCAGGTTGTTAGGGTATGTTTCCATTAGGACAAACAAGTGCTGTTACCCAGAGTCAGCAGTCGCAAGTTAAAATGGAAGGGTTTTGTAGAGCTGACAGAGACAGCTGTGCAGCGCTTCTCAGAGACGTGTTGTGCTGTTATTGAAGATGACAAAGGAAACAATAAACATTTTATGTTTTTATCTATCTTTCAAATTGAGCCCAGGCCTTCACAGACTGAAAAGTTGGAAGACACTCTGCCATCAAAGATGCTTACATTTACTGCTTGTTTTAGAAAGCACTCTAAGAAATTCCCAAGGAACAGAGACTAGTATTGCCTGTGGGAAGTCTCTGCAGGAAGTGCATTTTTTTTTTCTGCACCAGACCTCCTTGAACATATTCAAATGCTTTGTGGGGAGTTTCTGTCTGGTTTTTTTTTATGGGACAGTCACAAACCCTAAGATAAATATATGAATTTTAAGATGTGTATCTTGTTAAAAGGGCCCTGGTGGGCTGAAGGCCTGGTAGTCTTTATGTTGTCAGAGGGACTCCTTGTAAAAAACAGTGATAATCTACAGGAACTGGTTATAGTTTCAGGGGAGGGGTTGCGTTCTGCAACTCCATTTTGCATAAGAATTACTATAATAAACACTGCCATACACTGAGTCAAACATTCAGTCCCAATATACCTACAGACCTTGTGAACAGTTAGCATTTTTGGTAAGTTTTATAAATCTCGATGCTAATTTATGACTGTTCAGAAATTTCACTGAACCTGCACTCCTGGTATTGGTGGTCCTTTAGATCCACTGGGGGAAAAGGGTAAAAATAACAGAAATAGAGAAACAGTCAAAGGCCAGCCAAGGAGAAAAGCTGCCACAGAGACTGGTGGATGATTCACGGTTTTCAAATCTTCCTCGCCCTGTCATAAGCATTCTGTTTCTTGAAAGAAAATGAATCATTGCTATGAAAAAAAAAAAAAAAGTTTCAAGAAGGAAGCAAGTGTTTGGAGAGCTGACTTGGCTGGAATTTTCCCTTCACATATACACTTGCCATATCACTGCTTAAACTTTCTGTGTGTGCATGAGGGGGGACAGGGAACAATCGTATGTTAGTGAACATGCCCCCATCTGTTCCATTATTTAAGGGTGTAAAGATGCTCTTTAGTTCTCATAGTCCTTGCTATTTTTGTTGCCAGGTGGTCTTCCTGCCCAGATTTCACATCAAAACAGCTGTGAAGATTTTTTCCCTGAGCACATGCAAGAGGAGGGATCCCAGTAGTCCCATCCTTTTTGCAGTATTTTTGCAGAAGGCAAATACGCAATACATCCAGGTCTTAATTTAAGGGTTTCTTACATTAGGTCTTATGGATCTTTTTCCTTTATTTATGAAATAAATACAGGTCAACCCCATGCACCCATGTCAGATGTGGTACTCAGTCCCTACCTGCAGAGCACAAAATGCTTTGCTCCACCCCACTGCCCTCCTCCTACTCTCAGTGTTCCCTGGAGCACTTAAACACGTCCTTGCGAAAAATCAACTGACAAGGTCACCGTCTAGATACCAGAGAGGGCAATAAAGTGTCCTATGCCCCAGCTGTGTATCTGCAGTGCATTTATTATCTCTGACACCAGGATATCTGTGTGCCTTCCCATCCTGGAGGTGCCAGGCTTCACACACACCACCACTGGACAGCAAAGCACTATGGCCCAACTTACACATGGGAGGCTGCAGCCCAGAGGGGCTCAGTGACACAGCGGGTCAGAACTGAAGTGAATCCTCCATCATGTCTGTGCTGGAGCGAAGCATAGAGATTGCTTTGCATGTCAGTTTGAGCAGGTACGTCGCTTGGATGCAGTGGAATAATGGATGGAGATGAGAAGGCAGGATTTAAACAGACATTGTGCTAGTACCCAGAGACTAGAGCTATTAGGCACAGAGTTGCACTGAGGCCATTTTACAACTTCTAGTTCCTGAGCAAATTGTCAAGAGGCACTTGGGTGCATATGCACTGAGCTTCACTGTATGGTGAAATGGTCACCAGCTTTTTCTCCCCAGCCCAAGGTAGTATCTTAATGTATGGATTCTGCTCCCTCTGAACCATCCTTGCTGAAATCATCCTGTGCCAACACACTGAAGACTGCAAATCAGGAGCATTTTGGGTTAAAACTGTTATGAATCTCTGATTATGCTAATTTATCACTGTTCACACACATGGGTTTTTTTCTGTCTTCCCCACTGCAGATCTGCGCAGGATGACAGCTGGCTTCATGGGCATGGCTGTGGCCATCATCCTCTTTGGATGGATTATCGGGGTGCTGGGGTGCTGTTGGGATCGAGGCCTTATGCAGTATGTGGCGGGGCTTCTCTTCCTCATGGGAGGTAAGGATGTTAGCGTTTGGAGAAATGTATTTTCCTTGTTGTTTTCATGTTCTCTCTTTCCACATGTCCCTCCTTTTCTGAGTCACTGAAAACATGTTTTCAGAGTTGTTTTAGGTGATCTGGACTTGGTTTCATTCTGAGCTCCTTCTGGTGTACCTCAAGGATAACCCAACCATAGTTACATGTGACTTCTATCACAAAACAGTATTGATAAGACACAGGACTGGAAATGGCCTTCTGAGTTGTTTACTCTGTTGTTGCAAGTAAGACTGTCACCCTTAGCCTTAATAAGTTTAGTAAATTTAGTAATAAAAATCTGAAGATTATGCAGATGTTACTCCCACCACTATCCTATTCCATAGTGGGATGCTTTACTTTGATAACAAGAAACTGTGCTCAAAGCTTTAACCTATATTTATTCCTCATCAGTTGTTCTTGAGTCAAATGTAACCTTTAGTTTATGTGTCTCCTTTCTTTCTCTGATGTAACTATGAAGAGAAACGATATCCTCTGTTTTCCTTTTCCCACTCTACATATGCTATTTCTTGCAGACTTTCCTCTGTAAGACGAATTATCAGTTGAACAGCCTTTTCTGCGACCTGTTCTTGTTGGTACTTGCCTTTCTCAAATACAGATAAGAAGAACCATTCCCAAATAAGGTCTGATCAATGCCTCATATAAGTGATGTGACGGTTCCCTTTCTCTGCTGGAAATCCTTTTCCTGAAGTATTTTGTGGTTGTATTTGCCTTTTTCATGCTGTGTCACGCTGGAGACCCACAGTCATCCCTCAGTTGGATAATACATCCAGGCCTTTCTCCTTCTTTGCAATTTTCTACTGATGATCTCCCAATTTACAGCAGAGGTTCTGTTTATTACTCCCCAGGTAGGTGCTCTGGCACTCTGTGCTTTTGAGCTTCTTCCCATTTCTACTATACCAGCCCTCCAGGTCATCAGCAAGTTTCATGGCACACAGTTACTTGAAGTGAAGGGTGTAAGAGTAAAGTCCCAGACACAGTGCAGGGTGACTGTCTCAAAGTGAACAGCACCACTTCTGTTCTCTCTTCTTTTCTCTGCTGGTGGTTTTTCTTTGGCTGGGTTTTTGCCCCCCAGGCAGATCATTACTTTGATGCATTGGTCACCTGTGCATCTGTACTGTGGTGTGACACATCTAAGTGTGTGAAGTACAGGAAAACTGCTGTAGTCCCAGAAGAGGAGTTAAGTGCTCAAGTCACAAGTAGTTATATTCCAGTGCTGTTGGTGCTGGTGACAGAGACATCAGTTTTCTCAGTGCCCACAGACACATTTGAAGTTTGCTAGTACCTTGTGCAAGCACACGCTGGTCTATGTGTGGATGTCTGTAAATGGTTTGTTGTGGGTGTCAATACTTTATGGGCAATGAGTCTGCCAAATTACCTTGGTATTTCTTATGTAATTAAAAACTTAGTTTGCACAGGGGGCTATTTTGCTCTGATCTGCAACAACATTTGGATTAAAACATTAGGACTATATGAAATAAATACAGAAAACTAAAATTTATTAGAAACTAGCTAAATCTTATTTATTAATTGGGAATTATCGCTATATATGGGAGAGTTTCTAGCACAGCTGCAAAGATTACTTATTGGCTTAATGTTATTTGTTTGTCAGTAGTTTGAAAGATGGCTGATAAAAATTTTCAGGTGAAATAAGACTCATTGTAACCATGAATAATGGGATGGGTCGCTCATAGCTTACAAAGCCATCTTTTGGTGTGCTCAAACAATATGCGTTTCAATGGAGACAGATCCAAGGTCATTCAGCTGGGAACAAAAAGTGTCAGTCATCCTTGCAGAACGAGAGGCTGCCTCTCAGAAAGCAGCAGCACTGAAAATGTCTCTGGAATCATGGTTTCTGGGATCATCCAGCTGTGCAGGAGCTCTCAGTGCAATGCAGCTGCTAAATGTGCCAGTTTTGATGGGGATATGCAATAAGACCATGAGGTGGGGTTACTCTGGGCAAAGCAAAACTATTTCTGGACATCCTAATCTAGTGTCCATACTAAAGAAGGACGTGGAAAGATTGGGAGAGGTTTGCAGAAGACCTACAAGAATGACTCAAGGTCTGAAAAACAAGGGAAACACAGCATGCTGCAAAAAGCCAATTGCTTGAAACTGTTTAACGGAAGGTTTAGAATTGACTTGAACACAGTGTGGAAGTACCTGTGCAAGGAGAACCCATCTGATAGTAGCATGCTCTTTGACTCCATAGACAAAATAATAACAAGATCCAGCAGCTGGAATCTGAAACTAATTGAAATGAGAGGCACCAGATTATTTTATCTGCCAAATTCTGTCAAGATGTGTGATATTTTAATAAAGATGTGTTGGGAGGAGATCAAACTTATTTTCTGCTCCAGCATAGACACGTGGATCAGGGTTACAAAAGGTTACTGTCTTTCTTGTTTTGCACAAGTCAGTGGCAACTGCTATACTTTTCCTGATTTATTTTAACAGAAAACATGAATAAAGTAATATCTACAAACTGAAGCAGTGAGTCAGTAAAATACACAACTAGAGCCATCTAATGTAAAAGTCAGTAGCTATCAACGTCTTCAGACTGTGTCATAGGTTACATAGTCATTCCTTCTATAGCCAAGGAGTCTTAATTTGAACCTTTTTATTGCTGGATGATGTTTGAATACAAAGCTGTTACTTCATGACAGAAATTCTGTCAACATATCATCCTATTGGTCCTCAAAATGCATGGAACCTGAGTGCCACTTAGTTTTGCCTTTTTCTCTGGTCCAATCATGAGGAAAAATGCTTTGGGAGGCTTATGACATCTGACCACATTGCAGTTCAGAGGAGACTGTTAAATTGGTAGCTGTATAATCAGCCTGAAATTTAACTTTCCCTTCCATTTGCAATACTGCTTGTCTTGGCCATGTTTGTAGCATTTGCTCTGTTTTAATTTCTAGACAAATAGCTCTTCTGTAATGCTTAAACATTCCTGGCTTACTGTATGTATGTGTTTTGTCCCTTATTGCCTATAATTCTTTAAACAGGAAATCTCAGTGGAGCACTAAGAAGTGTGTTGTGATAATCTAACAAGACCAGACGTGGTTTCTTTGGACCTCTGGTTCTTTATTGTATCTACTGAACAGTCTTCTTGCTAGTCCATGTGGCAGTGCCTAATAAGGACTTGCTTTAGTATGCTTGATCTAATTTCTCAAGCAAATTGCTGAAATAAGTAATTTGTGAAATGCAGGCCGTTATCTGGTATTAGCTCATCTGGAATCCAGGACATGTAAACTGTCATTTAGAGTGTGTTTTACACTGTTATTCAGCAAGTTTTGTAAAAAGTTAAAAATTATTAATAATTCATCTTTTCTGTTTAGTCCAAATGTATCTGTATCAACAGCAATCACAGGTCTCTTATGGCTTCTGAAGTTCTTGTGCATAATTTTCTGTATTTATTGTAGAATTTGTACTCGGATTCCTTATCTTGAACGACAGCATTTGCCTGACCACAGTAGGATTTTTTTTCAGTCCCTCATCTTGTGTAGAGCCAGATGGATACTGCAAATTATGCTTAGTATTTTTGACCTCATTTTGCATGGTGGTACTATTGCATAGCCTCCTGTACCCAGAGTTGCACTGTCTGTTGTAGTTTCAATTCAGTATTGTCAGTATGATTTTATCCTACAAGGTGGGAGAGATTATCTTTCCAAGAATTTCTCCATTTGGAATTGTGCTCTTAAATTTCACTAGGACTAGTTCAATTTATGCATCTTATTTGAGACTGTTCAATGCTATTACAGAAGTGGGTCATACTCAAATTATACATGACTCCAAGCACATCCTCTTGCAGCTTCTTGTGTTTTCTCTACATGCAAATTATTGAAAATCTGTGCACCAGTCAGTAAAAGCTCCATACTGGGCATGTCATCTAGTAATTCCAAAATTTATAATAATTTCTGGAAGATTATAAACAACTTTAACACTGCTTACAAATGTCAGAGTCCTGTGGCAAACCTGATGCTGTCACGTTCATCAAGTACCTAGTAGTAGTCTAAAAAGAATGCAGTGAAACATCTACCTGAGGAAATGCATGTGGGGCATTTTATGCATTGTATTTTGACCTAAGTATATGTACTTGCACCAAAACTCTGCCTTTGCTTTTTGAAGTCTAGATATGACCTCCTCATCAGTTTCCAGGAAAGTGCTCACATTTTCTGGCTTTGAATGTATTCAATGACTTGTTTGTGGTTTTACTATCGTGGCAAACCTGTCATTTCATTTGGTTGGTGTCTTTACGCCCTCAACAGTAGATAATATTATTGCCAGGTTAAGGTCAAATTTCAGTTTTACTTCCAACTACAAAGAGTTGAGACATCATGAACTGGCACACTGGCAACTCTAACGAGGCAAATTCCTCTAGCTTCAGGAATTCATCCTTTCAGTTCTTCATTGTATTGTTTAAGAATATTTCCTCTATCATGGTAAGCGGACAAGCTATATATCCATCTGACTATTGGTTTTTCCACTGCCTCTCCAGCATATTCATTCATGGGTTTTCTTGTTTCAGCATCTGAGATTCTGCTATGTTGATTGTCCTTCCACAACCATGCAAACCCAACCTCACCACACCTTCTGTTATTGTACTTGCTTTATGAAATCAGTTTTATCTCTGATGGCCTGTTGTTTTCCCAGTTCAGCTCTTGATTTCTTTTCAGTCTGCTGTTTTGAAACATCATGTGGCTTGCTTTGTTTCTAGTTTTGAGGACAGGGCTGACTTTGTACCTAAATGCTCCAAAACCCTTTTCCTTCTCATCAGTGCCTGCCATGGGGAAAGGAGGTGGAAGGGCTGCCCCGTGGTGGCACGCTCCAGTGTTTTGGCAGTGGTTGCATTCTCCCCTTCCCTTCCTGGTGCACCTTCCCGATGAACTGCTTTGCCTTGTCCCAGCTGGAAATATAAAATGGCACTTCTAATGTCTCCTTCTGGTACTTCAGCACACAAT